GGAAGGCCATGCTTTGCAAGCCCTCTACTTATGGACAGATTTGATTTTGGCAAAGCAGTACCTGATACATCCTGGTACTGACTTAGGCCTAGAAATCTGGTGGTAGCCAGTGCAGTGATTTCATGATCACTGTCATCCTGCAAAGGCTGAATTGACCAACTAAATTGTCCCACTAAGACTCCTGAAACAACCAAATACACTATAAAGTGAAGAAACAACTTCATTGCCTGTAGCAAAAACACAAGCAATCATTATTTTTGGATCCTCTTATAATTCCAAGCTTTTCATAGTCAAGTGATTGGCAGTTTCACATGGCAATTTACACTCAAAGCTCTCTCCTATAATTTTCTATGGAACACGATTAGATTGACTTGGCAAGAATAATAAACGACCTTTGTTACAACAGTGGTTAACAACTCTACAAGATTAATGGGATTTCTGGTTGGCGACTGCAAACCTGCTATTATTAAAGAAATAATTTGACATGCTGGATAAGAGGACAGGTTCATCAAAGTCACTAATCTTCCTTTCTATGTCAGCGGTGAGACGCTGACAACTATATTTTTTGGGGAGTTGAGGGGGCTTTATTTTTGTCATTTGGTTGTTCGGGAGTTCTTGGTCTTTGCTTAAATAGTTGTTGGTAAAGTTTTAAAAGTGTAGATTTGGATTGGGAGTAAGAAAGTTATCCTCTAACAAAATGAAATTCAATGGTGAAAAAAGTAAGGTTCTATATTTAGGCAAGAAAAACAAAATGCATAGGTACCATATAGGTGGTACCTTGCTCAATAGTAGTAACTGTGAGAGGGATCTCGGAGTCCTAGTGGACAACCATTTAGATATGAGCCAGCCGTGTGCAGCAGCTGCCAAAAAAGCCAACACAGTTCTGGGCTGCATAAACAGAGGGATAGAATCAAGATCACGTGAAGTGTTAATACCACTTTATAATGCCTTGGAAAGGCCACACTTGGAATATTCCATTCAGTTTTGGTCGCCACGATGTAAAAAGGATATTGAGACTCTAGAAAGAGTGCAGAGAAGAGCAACAAAGATGATTAGGGTACTGGAGGCTAAAACATATGAAGAACGGTTGCAGGAACTGGGTATGTCTAGTTTAATGAAGAGAAGTACTAGGGGAGACATGATAGCAGTGTTCCAATATCTCAGGGGTTGCCACAAAGAAGAGGGAGTCAAGCTATTCTCCAAAGCACCTGAGCCTGAGGGCAGGACAAGAAGCAATGGATGGAAACAAATCAAGGAGAGGAGCAACTTAGAACTAAGGAGAAATTTCCTGACAGGTAGAACAATTAATCAGTGGAACTACTTGCTTCCAGAAGTTGTGAATGCTCCAACACTGGAAGTTTTAAAGAAGAGATTGGATAACTATTTGTCTGAAGTGGTGTAGGGTTTCCTGCCTGGGCAGGGAATTGGACTAGAAAACCTCCAAGATCCCTTCCAACTCTGTTATTCTATTCTATTCTTGTCACAATAAGCATGGAAAAGCTACTTCAAGTCTTAAAACATACACTTCGCATATGGCAAATCTCAGATTCATCCCGTAACATCTCCAGATTGAATTGGCAAAACATTCCTGCCTAAAACTTTGGAGACCTCCTTCATGCAAACAATCTTACTCTTCCAAAAAGGAAAATATAACTATAATGGCAAGAACACCATTTGATTGTTATGAACATATTGAATAAAGGGGAATAAAGTGTCTTTCAGATCTCCTGAGATATAAACCGTCGTACGTGTTGTTATTGAATCCTGATTCCATGAATGCAATATTCAGTTTCAGCAGTTTCCTTTCTCGCAGTTGTAAACCTAGATGCCAATAATGGGAAATGGATTAAGTCTATGTAGCGAGTTATATTGAAGACACCAGCAAAGATGCATAGAAATCCAATAAATGTTGATATTTAAAAATTCCCACTTATTTAGATTAAAATGGGAAAAAGAAAGACTAAAACAAGCTATTTCTTACAGGGCACAAACTTCATAAAGTCATACCGATAGCCCTGGAGCTACTCATCCACCTAGTGAAATGGTATAATTGTTATTGTTTGTCAAACCTCGAAACATTTTGTTTGATAAAGGAGTGTACTTCTATTTTAAAAATGTCTGTTTTTGACTGCAAATATGATCCACTTCAAGGAGTCTAAGAGTATTTTAAGGTTGAAGAAACATCTCAAGTTGAGAAAAGTGAATGTAAAGTTATGGAGGAAGGAAGGAAGGAAGGAAGGAAGGAAGGAAGGAAGGAAGGAAGGAAATGAAAAGGTGTGCTAAAACCTTATATTATTGGCATGTGTTAAGGCAGGGGTCTCCTATCTGGGGGATTTGCAACCAGGCCACGGAAATGGCTGGTGAGCCCGCACACATCATCTTTACTTGCTCGAGCAGCAGGCGAGCACGCACGTGCTCCATTTAAGTGAGCAGCAGGTATATGAGCATACTGCTTGCACAAAAGGTGCTGCCCGTGTGCTTGGCAACAGTTCACATGGAACCATCCTCTCTTCCCCCTCCCGCCTTTCTGCAAAGCCGGAAAAATTGGGGAACTCTATGTTAAGGCATTGAAAACTTTATCTTTTAATCTGGTATTCAATACCTACCCATTTTCTCTGGGCAACGTTTATGTCATATGAGTTATGGATTAAATATTTATAGCTAGAGATGCACATATTTTATTGTTATTTTATGGTTTTGTAAAACACCCTAAAGGCAATGATTTCTATCCTGTATCAAGGTCGGACAATAGAATTGAATATGGCTATTCTGACTTGATTCTGAATATAGACATTCCTCTTGTACCATGCATATTTATTTTTATTAAACACATTTTTTTATAAAAGTTTTTTTATTTTAATTTATCATAAAACAAATATAAATGTACAATATATTTAACCATTCTTATCACACATATTATATTTTGGTTTCCATATTGGTTCATTCTTCACCCTAACATTTTTAAAATACATTTGAAGTTGCTCTTCTACCATTCCATATCTCCCTTCTTCCACAACAACCATTACTTTCCTTCTCTCCTCTTACCCGTCCCTCCCTTCTTCTATTCTTTTCAACTTTCTTCTTTCATCCTCTCCTTCCCCTCCTCTCCTCCCCTCTTCCTCTCTTTCTAACCCTCTCTCCTACTCTTATTTCCCCTCCCTTTCTTCCTTTCCTTTCCCCTTTCTTCTCTCTCTCCTTTCCTCCCTTCTCCTCTCTCCTTCCTACCTGTTCCTCTACTCCATTCTCCCTTTCCTCTCCATTGTTGTATCCATTTTCAATTCAATATTTTGTCAAGATGGTATTTGAGCAACCCTGATCTTATATTTACCCACATTTTCCTTTCAATTTCTTTTCTATTTTGCTGGTTAGACACATATCATCCTTAATGTACATTTATATAGTACCTCTTTTTTCATTTTCCCCCTCCTTCCCCCTTTTATTAAACAAATTTATATAGCCACCCAATTCAGACACAGTGACTCTGAACACATCAGTTCGGGGAGCCTCACACTGAGAGGTTGTGGGCAAGTCAAGTCCTTTTATCTTACTCAACAGTCAGCCTTCACATAGCCATGTTTCTACATCTTAGCACTCCAGATACTTAACCCTGTATCTGACTTACTTGGTGATAGGTTCTCAGATATAACTAGCTTTTTTTTTTCTTTATTGCAAAGCAGACTGAAGCCATTCACTTGCCTCCTGCAATACACATAAATTGAACCCTTTATATAACCCTGTGCTCCAGGATTGAAATTTTGGGTTTTCTTCATACCTTTCTAAGGCAATGGAGGCAATTATGTTGATGGCCTCTAGAACACCTGATCTATGTTGCCACAACAGCCCTTTCTAGTATGGAACTGCTAGTTTCTACCTCACCACCTTCCTTTCTTTACACCAAATTATTAACAGCATTGCTATTATGGGGAAAAAAAACAGAGGACTGATTTTTCCCCATAATAACAGAACCCTGAGTTCAATATCTTCACAAACTACTTAGATGAGGGAATAGAAGGGGAACTCACCAAATTTGCAGATGATACTAAGCTGGCAGGAATAGCTAACACCCTAGAAGATAAGCTAGGAAGATCCTAGAAGGATCTTGACAGACTTGAACACTGGGCCCTATCTAACAAAATGAAATTCAATTAGAGAAAAGTAAAGTCTTACACTTAGGTAAGAAGAACCAAAAGCACACATATAAACTGGGGGAAACCAGGTTTAATAGCAGTGACTGTGAAAGGGATCTTGGAGTCTTAGTGGACAATCAGCTAAATATGAGTGAGGAGTGTGCAGCGGCAGCTAAAAAAACCAATGCAATCCTAAATTGCGTTAACAGAGGGATACAATCAAGATCAAGTGAGGTACTAATACCACTCTATAAAGTCCTAGTACGACCACAGCTAGAGTACTGCATCCAGTTTTGGTCACCACACTATAAAAAGATGTTGAGACTCTAGAAAAAGGGCAGAGGAGAGCAACCAGGAGGATTAGGGGACTGGAGAGTAAAACATATGAAGAACGGTTGCAGGAACTGGGCACGGCTAGTCTAGTGAAGAGAAGGACCAGAGGAGACATGATAGCTTTCTTCCAATACTTGAGGGGCTGCCACAGAGAGGAGGGGGTCAAGCTATTCTCCAAAGCACCTGAAGGCCAGACAAGGAATAATGGATGGAAACTGACCAAGGAGAGATTCAACCTAGAAATGAGGAGGAACTTTCTGACAGTGAGAACCATCAACCCATGGAACAGAAGTTGCCTTCGGAAGTGGTGGGAGCTTCAACACTTGAGACTTTCAAGAAAAGATTGGACTGTCATTTGTCAGAAATGGTGTAGGGTCTCCTGCTTGAGTGGGGGAGGGTTGGACTAGATGACCTATAAGGTCCCTTCCAATTCTGTTAATCTATTATCTGTTTAGACAAGAAGACTAAGGTGAATGCAGAGGGCCATTTTGTTTGGGGTAAAATGCATTTGCTTCACCGTGTTTTCTTGCTTCTTTCCAGCCTTCAGACACAATGAGTGTCCTGACCCAGGAGTTCCGGTCAATGGGAAGCGCTTTGGTGATAGCCTCCAACTTGGGAGCTCGGTCTCTTTCCTGTGTGACGAAGGCTTCATAAGGACCCATGGCTCAGAAACAATCACCTGCGTCTTGAAGGAAGGCAATGTGGTTTGGGATAACGCAGTCCTGAGATGTGAAGGTAAATTACTATGTTGGGTTGCCGTTTTCTTAGTTATAACAGTTAAGAGAAGGCAAGAAATCAATGTAAGAAGTATCTGAGGAACAAATGGTTGTGAATTTTGAGGCAAACTGATGTAACTACAGAAGCATCTGGACCTTTGGGGGGAAGCAAAGAAGGGAAGATGGTAGCTGTGACTACATGATCAAATCCCCACCCTGTGTGATAACACATGTAAATAAGCGAGCCGTCTTTAGTCATGTGATTGTGGACAGCATCTTGACTTGATAGCCCCTTCCCAGTGGTGGGTTTCAAATTTTTTTCCACCGGTTCTATGGGCATGGCTTGGTGGGCATGGTTTGGTGGGCGTGGCAGGGGAAGGATACTGTAAAATCTCCATTCCCAGCCCACTCCAGGGGAAGTATACTTTAAAATCTCCATTCCCTCCCCAATCCAGGGGATGGTTACTGCAAAATCCCCATTTCCTCCTGATCAGCTGGGACTTGGGAGGCAGAGAATAGATGGGGGCAGGGCCAGTCAGAATTTTTACTACCGGTTCTCCAAACTACTCAAAATTTCCGCTACTGGTTCTCCAGAACTGGTCAGAACCTGCTGAAACCCACCTCTGCCCCCTCCCCATCTCCTGGATATCCCTGCATGATTTACAGCTGCTTTGGTAGGATCTCCAGCTAGATTGGAGGGAGGTATTAAGAGGGTGATGAGCTTAGAGTCTTTGCACTGCAGGAAGTGACACAGGCCTGACTTCCCTCCCAGAATCTTGCCAGACCATTCCCATGAGAATGCAGTCCATTTGGCAACATTCATAGGTGACTAACAATACTGCTTCTGTTTGAGATGATTCACACATAGTTCCGATTGCTTGCACCTGACAAGCTGCTAGACTATTTTTTTTTAAAAAAAAAAATATTTTTTTAAAAAAAAATATTGCACTTATGTTTTCTCTCTGACTCTTTGCCCTTTTGTTCTATTAAGTTTTCAGTGGGATTATTTAATGCTATATTTAGCTTCAGGTAGGCTACATTAAAATGTTGTGAGATAAACCACATTTCAGTATTTCAGTATTTTCATCAGTGTAATTCCATGCCTTCTTGATTTCTTAATGGAGTTTGGAAATGACCAAAGATGAAATCATCCCAAATGGGAAAGAATTCAGTTTATTGATCCCTTGAACCTCACTTATGTCAGCTTTAGTTAGCTTCCTTCCCTTAATTCTATACAGAAGGCAAAATTACCACATGAAATATTCTCCCACCAGGAGAAAAAAAAGAGAAAGATGTAAGGGAGAAATATTCTCCCTCTGGAAATGGCAAACACGAGGACAGATGGATAGTTGCAACTGAAATCCTACCTAGAACATTCCTTGCCCAGGGTTTTATTAAGTTCATTCATGTACTCGGCTGCTGAGCTGTGGGTCCCCCAGGGCTAGTCCAGTGCAAATTCTATTACGTGAAACAATTGTCCCATCAATCAGTTTTGGGGATTATTGTTATTAGTTTTAGTATATTCAGGAAGAGAACATTTCATTTCAAATATTGTATCAATTTGCATCCAGCCAAAAAGCATGACAGTCACACTTGAACTGATGCATTGAATAAAAGAACAATTCTGAAGACTTCTGAATCTCATTTATCTTGGTGCACATATAGTATCTGCCCCTTGTGAAAAAGCCTGCAAAAAAATTGCTTTGGAAATGAGTGTCCAGCTCAGCAATTGCCTCATGATACCCGATTCTGACCTGGGGCTTCTGAATGTGGTAGATATCAAGTTGCATAATCCTCAACCAATATGGGCAGTGGCCAAGCAGGCTGGGTTAATAGTTGGAGAAAACTGACTTACTTGAAGTTATGACTGAGCAAAATGGAGAAAAGATTTAAAAAGGAAGATTAAATCGCAAACGCAACAGAACACTCTCCTTCATCCCACCCTCACACAAAGTTTTCTGGGAGCATTTGAATTTTCTGTTTCAAGGAAGCAAAGTGAAATGGAAAAAAAAAATATTAGGAATGTTAAAACTTTCTGCCTTCTTTCTGCTCCTTGAGAGAACAGCTATCAACTGATATCCTTGCCATCGTTTGAATGCAGACACATTGAATTCATGATAAATAGTTCCAGAAATCAGTTTCTCCAAAATCGCTCATCCATCTGGCAATTTGGGGCGGGGGAATAGACGAAGACTATAACCAAGATTTTCTTTTATGCTCAGAACTCTCTAATACTTGAACAGTTTCATACTTGAACCAGAGACTGCATATTGCACCTTTTATGTCAGTAAGGCAGAGGTGGGTTTTAGCAGGTTCTAACCAGTTCTGGAGAACCGGTAGCGGAAATTTTGAGTAGTTCGGAGAACCGGTAGTAAAAATTCTGACTGGCTCCGCCCTCATCTTTCTCTGCCTCCCGAGTCCCAGCTGATCGGGAGAAAATGCGGATTTTGCAGTATCCTGCTCCCCTCTATTCTCTGCCTTCCAAGTCCCAACTGATTGGGAGGAAATGGGGATTTTGCAGTAACCTTCTCCTGCCACTCCTACCAAGCCACGCCCACCAAGCCACGGCCACAGAACTGGTAGTAAAAAAAATTTGAAACCCACCACTGCAGTAAGTCATTCATTAATAATGTCTTGAGTTTTCCCTATTACACCTGACTTATATAAATCCTCACCATCACTAGATGTCAGCAAAGAGACAGAGATGTTTTATATTTTTGCTGCAGTGGGTTTTTTTTTTCTAACCCTCTTGGCAAAGGTGAACCACTTTAATCTGCCAAATAGTTGGATCAGCCTTAATTTCAAGAAGACCCAGAGTACTTTAAAACTATCAAAAGAACTAAGTTGGTATGATCTGCAATCAATTGTTTATTATTTAGAACTGTATATGACCTTAGTCATGGTAAAGGTAAAGGTAAAGGTTCCCCTCGCACATATGTGCTAGTCATTCCCGACTCTAGGGGTCCATGTCATCTCCGATTCAAAGCCGAAGAACCAGCGCTGTCTGAAGACGTCTCCGTGGTCATGTGGCCGACATGACTGAATGCCAAAGGCGCACAGAACACTGTTACCTTCCCACCAAAGATGGTCCCTATTTTTCTACTTGCATATTTGACGGGCTTTCGAACTGCTAGGTTGGCAGAAGCTGGGACAAGTAACGGGAGCTCACCCCATTATGCAGCACTAGGGATTCGAACCGCTGAACTGCCGACCTTTCAATCAACAAGCTCAGTGTCTTACCCACTAAGCCACCACGTCCCTTCTTCAGTCATGGTACTTTTACAAACAAACTGTGACTAAACAAACCATGCTTGCATGTGGGGACCTAGCCATTATAGGGAAGTAAGCATGCGCAAGATGGCAGTCGTGAGGTGAGGTGCTGCGGCTGGATGGAGGACTTTCTGGGGCTCGAGGGGGTGCTGCAGGGGAGCTCGACCATCAGCGACCCCTGATTCGGTCGGATGGCTTCGGGGCGAGGGTTTTGCGATCTTCCTCGCCCCTGGACGCCCCCGGAGTCGGAGGCGGCGAGGGAGAATGTGGCCGCGCTGCTCCGACTCCGCCGACGCCGCCGAGAGCCGAGCCGAGTGGGGAGTGGAGATCGGCGGCGCTGCTGGGAAGGAGAAGGAGAAGGGAGAGTGGAGCCGAGCCGAGCGGAGAGCAGAGAGCGGAGAACGGAGATATGGAGATGTGGCTTGCTGGCGGCGGGGGGGTCAGTCAGCGGAGGGGGCGAGGGTTTTTGAGATCTCCCTCGCCCCTGGACATGCCTAGAGGCGCCGGCGAAGAAGTTGGCTGCGCTGCTCCAACGCCGCCGAAAGTGGTGCTATGGTGGTTTGTTTGTGGGCAGCGATAGCAGCAAGGTGAAAGGGGAAGTATGGCTGTGGGGCAGCGAGTGGTGGCAGCCTGTTGAAATTTCATCTGCCCCACTCAGGAACTTCCTCAGCGGCCCCTGGAAACCGGGAATGGTGGCGTGGATATCAGCGGGGGTGGTGAGGCCGGCCCCAACATTAAACTGGGCCATGGCACACCCCATGGAAGTACTGGAGCTGTTCTCAGGCCCTATTGCCGGAGAAGGGGCCTTGCTAGAGGGTGAAAACTGAGAGGAGCATAACGGACTGGAGAAGAAAGACCCCCTCCCGGGATATCTTGGCAGCTGTAGAGGACCTGGAGGCCCCCTGTGACATCCAATGGAGGCTGGGGTTTGGATTTGTTATCCCGGAAGAACTGAACTATCTGAGGAATGTAGGGCTGGGGGGCGACGGAGGAGTTTTCCGTCACATAGATACCAGCCCTTTTCTCCTCCCCCTCCCAGGTACTGTGTCTGCCTAAATGGGCTTATTATTCGCCCTAATTGAGGGAATCCTCTCTCTCCCCCCCCTTTTCTTCCCCTCTTCCTTCTTCCCCTTCCCTTCTTTCCCTTTTTCATCGGGACTTACTCGAATATGATCTTGAGTATAAGACTTTGCCAAGGATTTTCCATCTTCACCCCTGGCGTGACTCATAGACTGACTGATAGACTGATAAATCTTTCTTCCGACCATGGTCAGCCAAACTGATGCAACTGTTGAGGGGTCCTCTATTACATCATGGCTCTTGTCTGTGGGAGAACTTTTTCAATCTACGGCCCCGTGGGGTTCCGCTGTGAGAGGGCGGGCCGGAGGTCGCCCCCATTGGAGGAGATAATTTTAGGACCCTCCTGCTGTTGTGGGAGGACAGTTGAGACACCAACAGCACATCGATGAACAATTGGCTGTGTTACATCTTTTGTGAAGTCCCCTGTCTGAGCTTTGGGCCTCCATCGCTGCATTTTGGAGATGTATACGACTGCAGATCTTCTTGCGCTGCGAGATTCCCCCTTCTCGCAGATGTGGCCCTCCTCACTATCGAGGGCCCACCTCAAGGAAGGCTTTTGGGACCCAGAGAGGTGGCATGTGAAAACGAGGGGATTGAGGGGTTTTTTAACAAAATTTTTAGTCAGATTTTTAAGGGGTCCTAGGGAGGGGGAGGGTCAGATTGGAATTC